TAGTAGCACCACTAGCAGCAGTAGCAGCAGCAGTAGCACCACTATCAGTAGCAGCGGTATCTTAGTAGCACCACTCGCAGTAGCCGCGGTATCTTAGTAGCACCACTCGCAGTAGCAGCAGCAGTAGCACCACTATCAGTAGCAGCGGTATCTTAGTAGCACCACTAGCAGTAGCAGCGGTATCTTAGTAGCACCACTCGCAGTAGCAGCAGCAGTAGCACCACTATCAGTAGCAGCGGTATCTTAGTAGCACCACTAGCAGTAGCAGCGGTATCTTAGTAGCACCACTAGCAGTAGCAGCGGTATCTTAGTAGAGGCTTTCATCTCTGTTTACAGGTGACTGCGACAATCTTCCGCGACTGTCATGGCGGACGGCCAGGTCGAGGACCATGGCATCATGTCGAACAGCGACGGAATCGACATCAACAACGTCCCGATGACGGCAGATGACGAGGACGGTAACCACGACAACGGCGTCGTCAATGGCAATGGCACTCACACCGACGCGTGCGGTGAGTCTATATCTATTGATCTAATCTGTCTAATCTAAGCCGTATCTAAGGGTCGCTTAAGGGAAACCCCAAATGTATCCTTTGTGGAGTTGTGGCCGTTCTATAGAGGTGGTTTCACTGTGTAAGAAACGTGTGAAAAAGTTATCAGAGTGAGCGTGATGTGATTGTGTGAAGAAGTTGGCAGAGGATCCTTCCGCAGAAGAGTTCTGCAGAAAGGTTCTGCAGAACAGTTCTTCTGTTAGGTGGAAGCGTCAATGGAGAAGGGTTTGGAAGTCTTTCGCTCTTGGTAGAGAAGAGCAGATGCAAATCAATCCGGCTTAAAATATCACACGAAGAGCACATAATATAGAGATCTTTCTATATTGTGCTCCACATTATAGTCTTTATTATGGTATGTATTATACCCATGTCTATATTATTTTCCATATTATGTTCTATGTTATCCTATTATAGTTCTATATATTTGTTCTATATATATTCCATCTATTAGTTCTATATATTATGTTATATATAGGGTGCTCCACATTATGCTATATATTATGTGCATCTTTATATTATCGAAGGTGAATAAAAAAAACAATTTTTCATTTTCCCCTGATGTTATGCTATGTTATGCGCACCTTTATGTTATCAGGAGTGAATAAAATCAAGCTTTTAATTTACTTTTGATATCATGCTCCATAATATGCTCATCTCTATGTTATGCGCTCCTGACATACGGCTGCTGCTCCCTCGTAGCCCACGTGCCCCATGCGTCTATATGCATGCAGTAGGATGTGTGTATGACTCGCGGCTGTTTGGCTAGACGTGACAGTGTAGCGCCACTGCATTCCTAGATCGCAGTCCCACGTACGTGTGTAACATTATGCAAAAGCCACCGTGCGAGAGTGGGTGCATCAGCGGGAGGAGGAGGAGGATGAGGAGGAGGAGGATGAGGAGGCAAGTGTATCTTGCAGTAAGTGATGGTATAGTGGTAAGCGTAGATTGTTGTAAGTGTATGTATCGGTAAGTGTCGGTAGTCGTACGTGTGCTTGTAAGTCTATGCAGCAGTGATGTNCTACATCACAGCTCTCCCATCCTGCTACCTACATCACAGCTTTCCCATCCTGCTACCTACATCACAGCTTTCCCATCCTGCTACCTACATCACAGCTTTCCTATCCTGCTACCTACATCACAGCTCTCTCATCCTGCTACCTACATCACAGCTTTCCCATCCTGCTACCTACATCACAGCTTTCCCATCCTGCTACCTACATCACAGCTTTCCCATCCTGCTATCTACATCACAGCTTTCCTATCCTGCTACCTACATCACAGCTTTCCCATCCTGCTACCTACATCACAGCTCTCCCATCCTGCTACCTACATCACAGC